TGCAAAGGAGGCGCATGATTCTCTCACCTCCTCCTGCAGAGGGCACTTTGTTTAGAGGCTTTTTAAAAACAGTTAAGCAGAGTCATTCACGTGGTGAATCTAGCAGCAACTATCCTAGCCTGCCTGGCCCTGGCTAGACCAAATCTTGCATTTTTGACACAGCTGGAAGGTATGTGGGTCAGAGGGAGGGGGCAGGGGGGAGGAATTCAAAATTATTTGTAACGTAAGTAATTGTAATTCATTTTTATTGTGTGTGTGTGCGCGTGTGTGTGTGTATTTAACCCGCCTCTGCTGGAGCGCGGGCTGGCACATTTATTTTTATTTTTTATTTTTTTAAACCATGCCACCTCGGCCCGCCATACAGCAAAACATGTCCTGGTTTGTGGCCGGGAGGCATGCTGGCACTTCACATGGAACTTTAAAGTGCCAACGTGCCTCCCGGCTACAAACCAGGACATGTTTCGCTCTATGGTGGGCCAAGGCGGCATGCACTTTAAAGTGACGGCATGCCTTCTGGGATGGCCATTCAGCAGGACATGCTTGATGTGCTCCCCGGTGATCTCCACCGCCTTCTCCCTGAAATCCACGCCGATGGTGGCCTCGGTGCTGACGGGGAAGGTGCCGCCTCAGAAGCGGACCATCAGGCAGGTCTTGCCCACGTTGGTCCCCTATGACGATGATCTTGAAGATGCGCGCCTACACCGACTGCTCCAGCGAGGCTTCCAGCTCAATCCCGGCGGGCAGAGAGGCCGAGGGAGGACTGGAGGCGACGGGCAGGCGGGTGGGCTCAGCAGCGCCACTGCACCAGCAGAGCCAGCCTGAGGGATGAGGGGTAGCTGAGCCTCAGCTGCCCGAGAAGCCTCACTTCGCCGCCAGCTGGGAGCCGTCCCTGGGGCCGCTCAGCCATTGGCTGTCGGGCACCAGCTGGCTTCCAGTGCCCAGCCTGGCTAAAGGCGGAGCTACAGCCCGCAGCTGGAGACTCTTGGCCCGGAGGACAGCGGTCCTCTCCTCTCTCCCCTCTGTCAACAATCGGTTCGCGAAGGCTGGGTGAGCCGTAGAAGGGAGGACCCAGTCCCGCTCTATGGTGGACGGCGCCGGGACTTTAAAGCCCTGCTGCTGGGGCCCTGCCGCCATGGACGCTCAGCTGCCCCTCATCCCTCAGGCTGGCTCTGCCGATGCAGCAGTGCTGCTGAGCCTGCCCGCCCGCCTGTCGCCTCCAGTCCTCCCTCGCCCTCTCCGCCCATCGGGATGGAACTGGAAGCCTCGCTGGAGCAGTTGGTGCCCAGGGGCACGGCTTTAAAGTGGCGGCAGGGCCCCGGCGGCAGGACTTTAAAGTCCCGGCGCTGTCCGCCATAGAGCCGGTCCTGGTCCGGCTCTATGGCGGATGCGGAGCCGGGGCTTCAGTGGTGCTTTCGCGCTTGCCTCACCGGCCCTGAAGCTCACCGCACGTCATTGGTCCAAGAAGACTAAAATGCTGTTTCAACATTGTCTTTGAGTCCTGATGCCAAATTTGTTCCAAGACTTATTTTGCACAAAATGTGCCATATGCCCCATGTAGAATCGAGAGAGGTGTTGCTAGCAGATGATGTCATTTACCATATTGGAGCAGAGCACATGAGGGTCCCTCTAATCTTGTGTTTGTACTTGTTGGAACCTGTGATATCGTTGTTGGTGTAAATGGGGGAAAATAGACATCTGGGTTTCTTACAGGGTCTGATACCTGTGATATATAATCGTCTTGCTGTTCTTAATTGCTTGTGAGAATCTACCACAGGTTGGATTGAACTCTGTATGTAAATATGGACATGCCACCCAGTATCTAAAAAAGCACAGCATCATTGTCCATTATGAGTTCTGGCAGCACATTAATAATACATTTGAGTGTTTTGAGCTGTAAGTTATTATTAACAACCAGTGGCGTTTTATAGTTCTATTTATGTGGTCTTTAAAATGATGTCTCCTGGAAATTGATTTGTCTCTATTGATTTGTCAATAAATTTCAATAAATGGTTAACTCAATTCTCCTGAATGTCTGGCTTAATTTCCTCAATTGAGCATTTCTGTCAAGTGGATTGGAACAAATGCAACTATGGCATATGGCCTGCCTATATATATAATAGATTTGATGATATTATCATATGGATTCAACTTATCTTCCTCCCTCATGTCATCCCAATTTAAATTATACACCAGTCCAGCTTCTCTGTGCATTTGATGAAAGCACCTTCGGAATGCCCCTAGGTCAGTGAATGGGGCTCTGCATGGCTGAAGAGGGGGGTTCCGCTCCCCGCTCACAGGCCCAGAGCCAGGGCACCTCTGCTGCCGCCGCCGCCTGCTGCCACTGCCCCAGCATGACTTTCTCTGTGGCTTCCAAACCACGGATAGGATGCAGAGTCTTCTGGCAGTTGCCGCTCTGGGAGTATGCTCTATGGTTGTACGCCCACAACTTAAGACCAAAATTTGAGACCAAAATTTATGTGAGAAATTTGTTAAGTTGCCCTCTTTTACTACTTTTTTTTGCAACATTTGTTAAGTGAATATTGCAGTTGTTAGTAACATGGTTAAGTGAATCTGGTTTCTCCATTGACTTTGCTTCTTAGAAGGTTGCAGAAGATGACCACACAACACCAGGACACTGCATCCATCATAAATGTGAGTCAGTTGTCAAGCATTCAAAAGTAAATCATGTGCAACTGTGCAAAGTGTGAAAAATCATAAATCACTTTTTTCAGTGCTGTTGTAACTTTAAACGGTTACTAAGCAAACTATTGTAGGTTGAGGTACCTGTGTAGTAAAAAAAGCAGTGAGCAATTGTATTGACAGTGAGCCTCTGTAGAATTGCTAGTGATGTGCCAGGCATATCTATCAGTGCTGCTTTATTAGCATTCGTTCCAAGAACAAGTGTTGCCTTGTGAATGTTCTACCACTTCTGCATAAAGCTGCGACTATTTTATTCTTGTGTCATTCCATAAAATTGCTTCCACTGTTCTTCCCAGAGATCCTTCCAATCCAGATGTTCTGTAACAGCAGGCAGTCACTTTTATCAAGTTCTGTAATAGCACTTTTGCCAGGTTTAGTTTGGCAGAAAAAGAAAAAAACCTTAAGAAATAATGAAATCTTTCTCAGTTCAATAGATCGAGATTTCCAAGTTTAGAAGTAAATCAACACAATATTGAATATAAAATAAATCCCAAAGGCTGAATATGAGAGGGAAACTTCCACTGTATATAGAGACAGGTCAACATTTCTTTGTTACGCAAATAAATTTCCCCAAATCTCAGTGCCTGAAGGGGAGGGGGGTATACAGAAATATATGCATTTCTGAGATCTGTCTCCCTAATATGCAGTTTTTATCCTGGCCAGATTCTGGAATCATAACTTTCTAGTCAACCTAGTTAAGAGATTTATTGGGAAGACCGAGCACGCCCTTCTTTATAACTGACGAGACTGAAAGGCTCCGCAAAAAAAAAAAAAAAAAAAAAACACGCCAACGGCAACACAAAACGCTCCGCACAACCGATCCCGACGCCTCCCCCCCCCGCCGCCTTCAACTCCCATGCACGCACGTAGGACGGGACTTCACGTCCATTGGTCCGATTTCCTCCCCTCCTGCGAGGCCCGGGGAAGCCGCTTCGGCGGCCTCCGAGGAGACAAAGCGCCCGCTTCTTATTGGTGGTTCGGGTCCACATTTGAGCTTCCTCTCTGCGCGCGGCGTCCAATAGGCTCATTGACATGTAAATCAGATGCTATAAATACGGCTGGGGTGGCGGCTCCGGGAGGGGGCGCAGAGAGGGGCTTTCAGAGCTGCAAATCGGCCCCGGGAGAGGCTTTTTTTTCTTTTTTGGTGGTGGTGAAAAAGGCGGAGGGGGTCGCCCGGCTTTGCTGCGATAGGAGCCGCCTCTTCTCCTTTCCTCTCCTCCCCCTTAACCCGCCGTCCTGTCTGGTTGTCCTTTGCTTTCGCCGCGTTTGCCCTGTACCACCATGGCTCCTTCCTTTTTCTCCAAAAAACCCCGATCGAGCCGGGACGAGGAGGATTTCTCCCAAGCCAGAGGAGATAGGAAGGTGAGGCGCCTGGGAGCCGAGGGAGGAGTGGGAGTGGGAGGGGTGGTCTCGTGTGGGTGAAACTCCAGCGGGCTCGCCTAGGCATCCACACGCGCGTGCAGCGATTGCTAGTTACGCCCTTTCCTTTTGCTTCCTCCCGCCTTGGCCAGGCAAGGAAGCCGCTGGTGGAGAAGAAGCGGCGAGCGCGAATCAACGAAAGCCTGCAGGAGCTGCGTCTGATCTTGTCGGAAACCGAGGTGACTTGGCCGGCGAAGGTTTCGGGGCAGGGGTGGGGATCTTACGCGGGGAGTGGAGTGGGATGGGTTGGCGGGGAGGGAGGGGAGGGGAAGGCTCGGGCTGACCATCTTGTGTTCGGCTGTGCGTGTTGCTTCCTTCTAGTTCCAGACGAAGATGGAGAACGCCGAGGTGCTGGAGCTGACGGTGAAGCGAGTGCAAGGAGTCTTGCAGAGCAGGTCGCTAGGTGAGTGTCGGCTGCCTCCGTCGTCCCTGCTCCCTATCCTCCGGGGGTTTGGCTACATGAAAAGGGACCCTCTGCTTGGCTTTTCCGCACAAGGGGTGGTAACAGTTCTAAAAGACCCGTTCCTGCCAGAATATAGGCTGCTGCTTCCATGTAGTTTGTAATTAGACTAATTGTAATTACTCTTTGGGAAAGGCAGTCATATCTTTCAAAGCGCTCTGTGATTGGGTTCTTTCCTTCACTTGGACAGTATACATTGTTCCTTTCTTATAACTTGTTTAGGCCCTAGTTGATATTGGTATTTTGAACATATTCTTTTAGAACAAAACAAAGATCTTCCTTCTTGACCTGTTAGGTCAATCCAAACTGCTAGGATTGCAGGACCTGGGACAAGGAAGAGGGTGGTTCACCACATTGCATGGCACTTTGGTCTGCTGACTTTCCAGCCACCCTGAGCCACTGCACTTACATTTAATTCAGTGTATCCTTTCCCGATGCCTGTATCTTTTATGTTAGATCCGTAACTGATAAATTATTTTTCCCAATCTTAATTAACTGGACACCCGGGTCTCTTGCAACCCTGCAGCTTCATAAAAGTGAAAAAAATTTAAAATGTCATAAAAATATTTTTAGGAGTTTTACACACAGAAACTGAAAGGCTACATTTTGTCTTCTGAAAGTGGAGGTTGTTCAATTAGATATTCCCCCTTGGAAATAATGTGGCTTTTCCAATAAATTTTGAAATGAATTCTGACTATCCTTCCATTCAAGATCTTAATGTTAGTTTAAAAGGGTTTTTCACAGCCATGACTGCAAGTGTAATACAGTTGAAACATCTAGTTGATTTTATGAGAAGACAGATAGGAGGGAGGGGATTGATTCAAATACATTATTGATGGAAGAAATAGAAAGAGGTGATTTGTGACTTAGTTGTTTTTGTTTCCTTGTTTACTTGCATCTCAGATGGTGACAAAATGCAACGAGAGGCCAGTGAACGCTTTGCAGCTGGATATATTCAATGCATGCATGAAGTTCATACATTTGTCTCCAGTTGTCCTGGGATTGATTCTACCATTGCAGCAGAGCTCTTGAATCACCTTTTGGAGTCAATGCCGCTGAACGAAGGCAGTTTTCAAGATCTGATTGTGGATGTCTTATCAGATCCCTCCATCAGCCAGTGGCCAAGTGGAGATGGGCCTTCTCAAATGCCTGGAAGTTCACATGGAACTTTAAGCATGTCCAGTCTCACTTCACCTCTTCCTTCACCTTCCTCCAGTGAAGAGATTTGCTCAGATCTGGAAGACACAGAGGCAGAGCAAAGCCACATCTCTTTGGATGGACTGGACAGGTCTAGGAGTCAAAATGTGCCTTCCTCCAGCCTTTCCAAATCTTTGTGGAGACCATGGTAATAAACTTCACAAGAACCAACGCAGATCTACCTAATAGGGAGAATACTTGAGCACTGTGTTCTTCTAGCCATTGGAATATAGACGGTGAGGATTTCAGATAGTGCATTTATGTCATAAAACTATTGTATGCAGGACTGTATAGCTGACACTCTTTCATTGTCAAATCCTGACAGATTGAATTGCTAAGTTAACGTTTCATCTGTGAGTATGAGAACTGAAATTTGTATGTCTTTTTTTTCTTAATTATTACTAAGGTGTGTGGGTTAAAAGATATGGAAGTGTATGCAAAAGAGCTCTTTTGTTGATGCACAGCACTGTTTTTGCAACTTACTTTTTTCTTGTGGGGGATGGAAATGCCTCCAATACCATGTAGTTTGGGCTAAGAAAAAGCCTTTGTGGATTTTGAGAACTTGTTGGTTTAATCCAATTAAAGGTATGGAATAAAGCATTAATGCAGAATTTCATATATTTTAATGATAGATTTTAAAAAAATAAATAAATAAAGCCAAGAAAAATCCCTGAAAGGGATTGGTGCAGCTAGTTTCTTGCTAAGTTTAGTATTCTAGGATTTCTCCTTCAGTGAAGGAAGAGGAAACTGGAAACCAGGATTGAATTAGGTAAACTTTTAAAACATTGGTGCCTTCTAGAAATGTGTTTTGTGCATATCTAGCACAAAATGAATATGAATTTTACTGTAATATGTATATTTGCTTGTCAATTTTTTATTTTAATCTTCTTTAAAATAAAAGTTCAGTGATTGTATTTTAAGGCACAAGATTTCTGCTGTGGATATTCAATTCCATGTTAGTGATTAACAAATATGTATCCTTGAGTGCAAACATTGGTAATTAAGCACTTAATTCTTGTACTGAACTTGTCTGTTCAAGTCCAGAGAAGTTGGAATGTTTCATTTGTTCTTGGACTGATCTTGATTTCAGCACACTAAATTCCTCAGATTTGTTCTATATCTTCCAGGTTCATTTTTTGAAAATATATCTGCAGATTTTCAAGCTATCCAAACATGCTCATTTAGAAGCAAGGATAACTGTTGAGTAGTGCTTAACCTAAGTAAATTTGCATAGAAACCAATTTAAAATTAACAAGTCTTGACAGTTTGGACAAATGAAACCTGGTTGAATGGAAATCAGTTAATGACACACAATTGTTCAGAAAGCTTATAACCACAATTTAAAACAAAAATCTTCCACTGTGCCCTTCCTCATGAAACTTATCTTTGAAGAAAAGAAGTTAGTACTCTTACTGTTATTTTTCCAGGAAGCCTTCATATCATAGATATCTATGGCAGTCTTCTCAACCTGATATTCCTGCTTCCTTTATCCTCGGCCAGTATATCCAGCAAAGACGGTTGAGATCCAGTGTTTTGGGGGCACCAGATTGCAGAAGTTGTTAACCTATGAAAGTGCTCCAATTTAGGAAGAAGGGGGGATAAACTTGTAAGATGTGGACTGTCTGTGTAGTAGTTCTTTTTGTTAACTATGTGGAACAATAAAAAGCAGAAACAACATTGACTGGAAGGTGTGTGCTTTGTGAATTGCCTTTTAAGTCATCTGATGTGAATGGTCTGAATTCAAAGCCTAGCCCAAGAGTTGTGCTAATTTGTCACCATTCTCTCCCCTTTTGCTTCCCCAAGAAGGAATGAGCTTTCTTGGAAGGGCCTTTCTGCTTCTAGGGTAGATAGAGCAAGATTTTCTTGTGTAAATCAAGCAATAGTATCAAGAGTGGAAATAACACCATATATCGATTGACGACATCCCCAAGCATTGTGGGCCCAAGCATTGTCAAAAGGAAGCTCAGGACCATATTGGTTGGAAACATGCAGAAGAGGCCTTTATCCTGCATTGGATGGACAATGGCTAAAATGATGATATACTGATGATACTTCTATGAGTATTTGGAGCAAGGGAACTCACCTAAATTCAGTAATGCGATTAAATTCCATTAAGCATAGTCTGCCTCCAGTATTAAGGCTGTTTGCATTTAAAAACACTGAAAGAACAAAAAAGGTTTTATATCCTTAGCTTCTTTCTCTGTCAACCATGAGAATATATTGTAATGAGGAGCTATAGAGTCCCCTTTCCATGGGAAATGTCAAAAATCTATGTCAAAGAGTCATTGTTTTAGCCATGATAAGGCATCGCTAAATGATCAATGTAACAAAATACAATTTGTTATTTAGAATCTTCTTACAGCACCATGCTCTTCAAATTTGAGAGGGAAAGGATGTTCTCAAACTTTAGAGCTGAGAAAATATTTTGATATACATGGAGACAGACCAGAATAGAATACTTCTCAGAAACTAAATGTTACTAAATAATAAAATTGTAATAAAAGGTGTTTTGTAATCTTCCATCTGGAATGAAGAAAGCAATAGTGTAAACACGTTTATTATCAAGCTATTCTGAGAGAGGATAATTTGGAAGCTTTTGAAGTAATTCATTCTTGAACTACACTGCACATAGTGAACTACATTAATTGATGAAAGCATTAGGATTATCTCATATATTTAGAACTTCTGTTTTCAAATGAACTATATAACACTTGAGGAATGTGTCTGTTGGTAATGAATTCTTAAAATTGTTCCATCTATGGAGAAGAAACTTTCAGTGTTCTCCTAGGTCCTGTGTCCATCATTTTAAAAAATTGTGTGCATGTGTCAATGAAAGAGAAACTTTGTGTCCTAAAGATTATAGATCTACGTATAAACATTTAAGACTGAAATGTAATTATCATTTACAAACCTCAATTCTTTTGAAGGGGTATATGAGCATGTCAAAATGATACTCGGTGAAAGTATGGATAAGATAAGTGAATGTCATTAGGCTCTACAAAGAGAGCTTAGTTGAGCTTGTGTATATTTGCAAAAAACACTACATAGTACAATGTGTTGAGATAGTAACTTTGGAACAAATGAACAGACTTCAATTAAGTCTTGCAAGAGGATTTTTCTTCTCACCCTACTATGTGTTTTCCTTTTGAACTGGACTTTTGCCCCATCTCCCTTGGAAGTATGGCAGCAAAGGAGGCTGCAGCCAGAGGTGGGAAAACACATGACAATTTGGCCACAATAAAACAGAGAACTGGGGATTGGAAGATTTAAAATAATCTTCCAATTATTTAAAATGTAGCCATCCTCACCAATGAATATTTGTGGTTATGGAGGTACAGTGAAAAGGCAACAATAAAAGTTTACATATACACTTTATGTCAGCACCACTGGATATAGATAATAGATAAGTTGGCCATTTCTTCTGTTTCAGAGGATAGAGCAGATAATGGTAAAATCCTGCCCCTGTCATATTTTGCACTATGGTTTTATGTGAGAACTGCAAAATCTTCATTATCAAATTATCTTTATGTGGAAAAGTTCTCTCACATATTTCATGTGCAAAAGCATTTTTGTACGTGAGAAGAAGCCATCAAAATAAGCCAATAGTTAACTTCAGGAACTACAAAGTAATATAAAGTAAGAAAAAGAAACAAAAGAGATCAAAGAGAAATCTAAAAGTGCAAGAATTTTTACTTTATATTCATATTAGTTGTTTTCTTCCCTTAAAAATATTTAATAAAAATTAAATGAAAAAAAATAAACTCCAGGAACTCACCCTCTCAGTTTTGCCATGGATAGAATGGCTTCAAAACGACATCAATAGTAATAGTCTTGAATCAGGTATGTTGTGCATACATATAATATCTGTCATATATGCAAGGTAGAGTCGATCAGTGGAAAACTCCCTAACTGAAAATATAGGGTTATCCAGGAGATGGGACTCAAAGGTGAGGGACGGTCTGAAATAAAGGATGATAATTATACACAATCTTTTCTTCAAGAACTCTTAAGTTTCTTAGAAATGAAGAAACAATAGCAATGTTAAGAGTAAATACTGTACCCAATTGTTAATGTTATGTTAGTAATGTTAATCTACTAAAAGCCTAGGAGCATGATTTGCAGCCTCAGTTTACAGTAAATCAACTAGTTTAACCAGTTATAGTGCTGATGATCTCTTCGCTACTACATACATGGAAAGGGAGTTGCAGTGATTGTTGCTGCAGTTCCCCTGCTCTATTCAGGTTAACAAATTCTAATGGGGGGGAGGGGGAGAGAATTAGTAGTGCTTCAAACTGAAGGGAGGTTTGATTTCAGAATTTGAGAAATGTCAATGGATTTTTTAAAAGGATGTTATGAGTAATACAGTAACAACAAAGTGGAATTCTGCTGCATTGTTTACTGGTTAGGGCACTAGAATTAAAATAGAAGATAAGTATGTAAAGTTATTCTCCCTTTCAGAAAAGTAGGTTGGAGACCATTTCATCATTTTCTTTTTCAACTGGCTAATTTATAATTAAAATGACAAAAAAGACATTTGAGAAGTGTTAGAGATACTTTAATCCACAAATTAGGTTTACAGAAAGTTTACATCCCTTGATTAGGTGTTACAAGGTTTTCAAAAACTTTCACTTCTTTATTGCAAAGGTGTCAGATTTGACACTTCCTTGATAAAGGCAGGAAGAGGAACACTCCAAGGGATGGGGGAAATGTGATTTCCAGCAGTTATACAAGGAGTATTCACCCTTTTTCTCTTTTTTCCCCTAACTTCCTCTTTCCTCCTCTACTGATTGCTTTGTTGTCTTATTATGCTTTGTAATTACTTTGTTGTTTGTTAAGGAATAAAAATTTTGTAACAATCTTATTGGACAGTTATTTATTATATTGGTATAATGCTAAATTTGCCAAGGATTCTCAATACTTTGAAAATCATTTGATTTTAAATGTATTTGATTGTAAACCAATATACATCCCTTACCCTATCATGCTGCAACAAGTAAGAAATAGACTGGAGATCCCTAAAGCAATTAACTTTAACATCAATAAAGTTTCTTGTGAATAATTTTGATCCCGGTAAAAAGGCTTCAAAGGAAGCTTATTGATACTTAAGTATACAACATCAATGGAGGGGGGAAATGTTTTTATTTGCTTTATGTCCCATTTTTTTGAAAAAGGAGTTCAAAGCAGCATACCTGATGCTTCCTCCTCCTATTTTTCCCACAACAATCCTGTGAGGTATGTTGAGCAGAGGAGCAGATACTAGTCAAACTCACCAAATGAGCCTCTGTGATTGAGAGTGAACCAGAATTTGGGTCATCCCCACTCCAGTTCCAATCCTTTAACCCCTACATCACAATAGTTCTCAGTGTGTACAGATGATATTGTCGAAATAAGTGCATGTAAGTTTTAACTGGCCAGCAAGGACAAAAGCGCAGGAGGGGAATTATCCATTAAGGCTTGGAAATGGCCAACTAACCCTTTCTTTTCATTGGTTGTTTAATGTCTATTTGGGCATCCACATGATGGTAGAGTTGATTATTGCTTGCAAGTGTTTGCTCATATGGCACAATAAAGACTCATTTCAAGACTGACTGATGGAATTTTTTGTACTCACCTTGTTTAAACATAAACAAGGGGAGTACAAAAGTCATGAAATCTGTGAATATACTAAAACAGTCTTGTGATTTGAGGAATTGCTAAAGGAAGTTGATGAAATTAACCCCATGGTAAAAAGGGCCTCCTGGGATGATCAGTCTATGTTGATGCTCTTTGGTTTTTCATCTGTTGAGGAGAGAGTTGCTTGTTACCTGTGTAAAGCTTATCATGGCTATGAAAAGAGGTAATTATTACAATCAATAGGGACTAGACAAGCCGTCCTTTTCTATTCACAAAGTCTGGTGTTGATTACAATGGAAAAGATTCAGTTCCTGAGTCTCAAATTCAGGACGCCATATTGCCTAATTTACAAAGAACAATTATTTGTTCGAAGGTTTGTCGTGTGACCCGACAAAAGCGCGAACGTCATAAGCGCGCCGACAACACCGCGGCACTAAAACCGCGATGTCAAAAGCGCGCTGACAACAGCGCGCCGACAGAAGTGCGATTTAAAGTTAGGGTTAGGTTTAGGGTTCTGTTACGGCGCGCTTTTGTCGGCACGCTTTAGGGCTAATTAGTCGCTCATTCGGCGCGCGGTTTTGTCACCGCGCTTTAGACATCGCGGTTTAGTCAGGCACGCTTTTGTTGTGCGCGCATTTGTGGTGGAACCGGTTTGTCTATCAAACTCCATTTGGAAACTGTAAGAAGGTAAAGTCAAGAGTTTTACAGGAGTCATAGACTCAGTATGCATTTGAACAGTTTATACAGACCTTCCTTCCTATTATATTAATTATTTCTAAATATATAAATCTGTGAGTCCTTGTAGGTATCACTCCTTGTCCTCTTCTTTTGATGATGCATTTTCTTTTTGCCTTTTGCATGGCCACTCTACATGTGTACAGATAGGTGATGCAAACTCTTGTTATGGTAGTATATAAATATAAATAGGTTCAAGAAACATCATAGATAAGCAGTATTCAAACAAATATTCTAAATACCTTTGTTTCAAATTTCTTCCTAAGCAAGGTGAACTTTCATTCATTCTAAATCCAGAGTAACTGTTTTATTCTATTTCTAAGGTAA